TATCAAAATCAGATTAGTTGCACATACAAATATATACTCTCTCTTATTCATAATAAGTGTCGTTTTAAGAAGTTACACAGTAACTAAGAATATTTTGTTTGCCAGTAATAGCCCGTCCTCTTTAATGAAGATAGAGATGGATGTTTTGGAAAAAAAAATGAAGAGTGAATATGAAAATAAGTAATGTATTTATTAGCTAAATGAGGGTAATAATGAAAAAATATATACAAAAAATTCAAAACGTCATTTATTTGGTTAATAGTTGATAAAACCAAAATAACATTTAAAGTATTACCTATCATAGAAATGAATAATCATAGATATGAAATTAAGAGTCGCCAATAAACTTACTTCACCCTCAAGTATTTGGAAGGTATTTGCTCCAACGGCTTCTTGCTTTTCCTACAACAACGTAAACAAGACATATATAAACTTCCATTTTCTATTTTTTTTTTTTTTTTTAAGTATAAACATGAAAGTGTATTATTGGTCTCACTGTGTCTCAGAAGCAACTAAAGAAAACCAAAATGTTTCAAGCTTTCTGTTGTATGTTGGGTTTTCAGCATAAGCCTTGGCCTTGTCAGTCTTATTCTTCTTCAATGTCCCACGAGCATTGACTTTCGAGCCCCTTTCTTGTATTCGTTCACTCTTTGTCTTTGCAACATCTTTATTAACATTTGCAGCACGACTTTTTTCACCCTATTGAATCCGAACCAAGAGGAGTGCATGAGTAGTACTTTTCGAGTAAAACAGGTGGAAAAAAATATAACTTGTATGGATTTATTACCTTCTTGTCACTCTTCATAATGGATGGCCTTTTGTTTTGATCATATTCTTGTGTAGCAATGCGTTTTTGTGAGAGACGAGCCTTCTCGGGCGATTCAGTTGTAGAACCTCTGGATGTTATCTCATCTGCAGATTTTTCTTGTTCACCTCTCCTTTTCATTGTGCTTTGCAAACAAGATTTTTCACCATGTTATAGGTTGCAATAAGGAATGGTTTTGCTAACAATATAATAATTAACCATCCATTGATTATTAATAATATCTAACGCGATTGCAGTCGTATTTGTAAGAAACTCGGTTTCGTACTAATTTTACAGTTTTATTTTTCATAAGTGGGATATTTTAGAATATAATCTCAAAAACAAAAGTAAATATGTTGAATGAGAAATTAATTTAAAGTTAAAATGAGGGTAAGTTGACTTAATGTAACTCAAAATTGAGTTTAAGTAGCTAAAAAAATAGTAGGAATCGAAAACGAAATAAGCTTATGAATAAACCGTCACACCCGCAACAACTGGGTTGTTGCGAGCCATACGTTTACACGACAGCTCGTCGGGGGCACAATGAGCTCGTTGGCTTTATGTTTTCAGCTCGACCGATTGTGTCTGTTTCCGTCTGAACCTGACTAGGTTGCAATCACGACCGTTATTCTCACGACCTTCGGGTCATGAGGTCATTTTACCTTTCCGTGCTCCTCGAGGAGCTCGACTTTGGAGTCTTCTGACCAAGTTAACTCATACCTTGAGCTGCTTAAGCGGGCTTGCTGGTGAGGTATTTCACTAATACTGAGCTGGAGCTCTCTCGAACCGACTTTACACGAGCTAACCACTCATGTCGGTTCACCGAGCTATTCTTGGTGCTATATCAGAATCATAACTGCAAGGTCAAGATCTTTATAATATAGTGAATAGTATAATATTACACCACCTGAGGATCCTACAACAATGAAGAAGTGGAAAGATCATGTTCTCTATCAAAACCACGACCTGGGAAATGTTGGAGCACATAAAGAAAGCAATAAAACTTGATTTGTTGATTCTTTATACTTTTTGGTGAATCGAACTTATTTAGGTAATTGTTGTTATGGCTTAGCCCTTCCCGCGCCTATCATATCTTTCAACTTTGCCCTAGATCCTACTACTTCTGCCTATGTACGTCTAAATCTAACTTTGTGATGCCGACGAGATTGCGTTGGCGTTCCTTGACAGACATGATCGACGCTACCGCTTTTGATCTCATCAAGCAGAAGCTCATGTCCGCTCCGATTTTGGTGCTTCCGGATTTTTCCCGCTCTTTCAAGCTCTCTTGTGATGCATCGAAGGTGGGTATTGGGGCCGTTCTTAGTCAGGAGGGGCGGCCCGTGGCATTCTTTAGCGAGAAATTATCAGAACCGAGGGCGCATTATAGCACTTACGACGTGGAATTTTATGCCGTTGTGCGTGCTGTGCGTCATTGGAGGCACTACTTGTTTCATCGGGAGTTTGTCTTATTCTCTGATCACGAGGCGTTGCGTTTTATCTCATCTCAGGATAACATTTCAGCCCGCCATGCGGCTTGGACGTCCTTTCTGCAGCAGTTCACCTTCGTCCTCAAACATAGATCGGGTACATCGAATCGTGTCGTTGATGCTTTGAGTAGACGTTCTCTTATCTTGACTGATATACATGTTGCGGTCACTGGTTTCAATTTATTACGTGACCAGTATCCTTTTGATGCTTTCTTTGGCCCCATTCTGGTGCGTTTGAGTGCGGTCCCTGTGGATGATTTTGTGGTGCGAGAGGGATTCCTTTTTAAAGGGGTCCGTTTGTGTATCTCGGATGGCAGCCTTCGGCTAAAACTTTTTGGGGACTTGCATGGGGAAAGACATGTAGGTCGTGATCGTTTTGTTGAGCTCATCCAACGCACCTTCTTTTGGCCCACTTTGCGACGGGATGTCTCGCGTTTTGTTGAGCGATGCAGAGTTTGTTAGGTTTCGAGGGGAGTTGCTTCGAATACAGGGTTGTATCGACCACTTCCGGTACCCTCGCAGCCTTGGTGTGCCATTAGCATGGACTTTGTTCTTGGTCTTCCCCGTACACAGCGAGGTAATGATTCCATTTTCGTGGTTTTTGATCGATTTTCTAAGATGGCCAACTTCATTTCGTGCAAGGGATCGATTGATGCAGTGCATGTGGCACAACTTTTCTTTCGTGAGATTTATCGTTTGCATGGCCTACCCACGTCCATTGTCTCTGACCGTGATACTCGCTTCCTCAGTTTCTTTTGGCGTAGCTTGTGGCGCCAAGCGAACACCAGGCTCGACTTTAGCAGCGGTTAACACCCGCAGACGGACGACCAAACTGAGGTCGTCAACCACTCTTTGGGTAACTTGCTTCGCTGCCTCGTTGGGGATAACTTGCGTTCGTGGGATCTCCGGCTCGGTCAAGCCGAGTTTGCTCATAATTCGGCACCCAGTCGTGCCACTCGGCATAACCCATCCTAGGTGGTTTATGGTGTGGTCCCTCGTGGACCGGCGGATTTGATAGCCTTGCCGTCCTCCGGGCTCGAGGACAAGCGAGCTAAGGACTTGATGACCGAGGTGAGGCGCACCCATGTTGAGGTCCGTGCGAATCTGGAGGCAACGACAGCCGCCTACAAGCGGCGCGCGGACACACACCGGAGGCATGTGGAGTTTGATGTCGGTGATTTTGTTTGGGCTGTCTTGACGAAGGACCGCTTTCCGGCCCACGAGTACAACAAGCTTTCGGCCCGAAAGATTGGGCATGTGGAGATCATTGAGAAGATTAATCCAAATGCTTACCGTCTTCGCCTTCCGTCACATGTGTGCACCTCTGATGTCTTCAACGTCAAACACTTGGTGCCTTTTCGCGGTGACAATTCAGACGACCAGAGTGGTTCGGATTCGAGGGCGAATTCTCTCCAGTCGGGGGAGAATGATGCCGACAAGAGTGCGTTGGTGTTCCTTGACAGACATGATCGTCTCCGACCCCTTATTTGATCACTATTCTATTTATCATTATTATTTATGCTTATTCCTATTTAGTTATTATTGGACTTGTGTTTATTGGGCTTTTGGGCTTTTAAGATTTTATTGTTAGGGCGTGTCTTCTACATAAGGCACTTCAACTTTGTCATTTGGACAGATTATTGTTGATTGAATAAACGTATTGGAGAGTTTTCTTTGTTATCATAAAACCCATCGTACGCTTCCTTCATCATTTTGTTACTTTTCAAGTGAATAAAGAATAAATGGCTAGATTTTTCTGAAGAAGAATGAGGCAACATTGCAAATTTTGGAGAGTGTGCTTCTTTCTAGCACACATATGATGATAACCCAGTATTTCACCATAATGAAGGCGCGCTGTTGTCTTGAAATCTCTAATTTAGACTCTTCTACCGATATGTTTGGATGACAAAGGTAGACCGACCCGACTTTGTCTTGTCTAGTTGAAAAATTTTCTAGTGGAACAAGAAGCATTAGCTAAGAGAACATTCGAAGCCTCATCTATAATGATAAACATGTACTCTTTATGAAGAAGAATGAAGGTCAACCTAACAAATCTAATCCTTTAAGGTAAAGAAATGATCGCGAGGAAGATGAAGAACAAATGTTCATTAGATGGGAGCACAAAAACACACAAGTGGTCAGCTTCAAGAATGTAGAATATTTTGAATTGAGTGTTATAATTGCGAAAAAAATAAAAGAAATTGTTGATCGAAAATTAAATCGACTATCTCACTCGTGTTAAATGAGACACATAAAAACGAAGATATTGGGAGATATATCTCTAACAACGATAGTCGTAAACTTGTCGAGTCTTATAATAAGTACATTTAATGACTCTATAAGACATGAGCGATTCACAAAATTCGACCGGATATAGTGAATCATATCTACAAGGTCAAGATCTTTATAATATAGTGAATAGTATAACATTACGCCACCTGAGAACCCTAACATTGAAGAAGTGGAAGGTAGGAGATGGCAAGATCGTGTTCTCTATCAAGATCATGACCGAGCAAATGTTAGAGTACAAAAGGAAAACAGTAAAACTTGAGTTATTGATTCTTTATACTTTTTAGTGAATCGAAACATATTTATGCAATTGTTGTTATGGCTTAGCCCTTCCCGCGCCTATCATATCTTCTCAACTTTTGTCCTAGATCCTACTACTTCTGTCCATGTACGTCTAACTCTTATTTTGTTACTTTTTGAGTGAGTAAAGAATGAGTGGCTAGTTTTTTCCTGACGAAGAATGAGCCAAGATTGCTAATTCGGGTGAGTGCTTCATTTTATCACACATATGATAATAACCCAGTATTTCACCGTAGCGAAGGCCTCGTGAAATCTCTAATTTAGACTCTTCTACATATATGTTTGGATCACAAAGGTAGACCAATCTAACTTTCTCGTCTAGTTGAAATGTTTGCTAGTTGAACAACAAACATTAGGTAAGAAAACGTTCTAAGCCTCATCTATAATGATAAACATGTACCCTTAAATTGGGTAAAAAAATGTCACATAAAGGAATTGTTGATCGAAAAAGTCGTGCCAAATGAGACACATTGAAACGAAGATATTGGGAAAAATATCTCTAACGATAGTCATGAACTTGTCGAGTCTGATAATAAGTATATTAATGACTCTAAAAGACATGAAGGATTTCCAAAATTCGACCGGATATAATGAAGGTCGTGTTGAATTTTGGATAATAACACGTGTTGTTCGGGTCCCAACAACTATGTGATCAAAATTATATAACTCCTCTGATCAAAATTGTGATATAGGACCAAATAGATATTCTTATTTAACTAAAGAACTGTTTAGAGAACAGGGAAATTTCACAAGACAAATCTTGAGCTATTCCACAATCTCTATTTTGGAATGCGTTTCTTATGGAAAATATAATGTAAAAACATATTCAAAATAACTGGAAAATAAATAAATAAATAAAAATTAAATAGATGCCCAGCGGACAGGAATATACCAATCTCTAAACAATTACAAGAACAAATAAAAGAGGCCAGAGAACGTTAAAGTAGGTAAAATTAAAGAGATTAAAATTAATCTCTTTAAAGAATTGTTAATTTTCTAATACACTTGAAACAAAGAGATTAAAATTAAAGAGTAACTCACATCGGTGGGGACTCTGGCTTTTCTGAAGAATTTTCAACAAATTGGGCAGGTAAGAGATTTGTTGATGTTCTTTTCCTGCAATGCGAAATTCATAGCCACCTGAAAAAATTTCTAGGAGTGCTTGAGAAGATTTATACAAAAACATGATAAAGTGAAGATATTTGTAATGTATAAAAGCATAAAAAACAAGTAATTTCTCCTGGGATTAGTATAATTTTGTGTACGCGGCCAGGGAGAGAAATTAGAGTAATTTGATTCAGCGACAATATAAACAGATAAACTGATATATGTAATATGGAAATAAAATTTAAATTCCATGTATCTGTTCATAGCTGTCACTTAAAGATGGTATTGGCAACAAATCTCATTTACTTAATATTTACATGATCTTCATATGAATTCTTTGACTACAAGATAAATCCAATTCAGAGATCCTTTGAACTTTGGAAATAGCATATAATAATATGAAACTAAATGTCATTTATTGTGTCCGGGTATGTAATAAGCTCTACAGCCATTAACAACAAAAAAATTGTTTAATTAGTGACTAGTTTGTCTGACAGAGGCAGTAGAATACCTGTGCAAAAAATAATAATTAACGTTAAAGAAAATAGATTTGACATTAAGCTAAAAATTGTATGATTGTATTATTTTATTTTACTTTTTAAAAATAAGTGACTTCAAGCAAAGTAAAAAAAGGGGGAAAGATTTTTCAATCATATATTTCTTTATTATATGTATATTATTCTTTTTATGGTTATAATCAAAATTAATTTATATTTCTTGACATTATAGGAAAAGGAAAAAAATAGAGAATAAAATGAGGAGAAGCGAAATATTTCACGGAAAAACTTAAATTTTTTTTTTTGGTACCAATCATATCTAAGATTTGATCGGGATACATTGTTAGTAAAACTTTTAATGAGATAAATCGGGAACTATATGTACAAGTTTCTTTCTTCAACTCCAGCATGTGTGAAAGAAAATGATGATGACAAAATAATAAATGATGTTTTCATAGCGTTTTTCTTAGATCCAAAAAGGTAAATGATGATCTAAACCCAACGAACTAAATTAAAAACACAACGACTAAAGGACAAAATATTATATGGAATTTCTTCCTGTAAATTATAAATGGTTATACGTAAATAAAAATATTATGCTAGATATGTTTCAAATGAAGTGGAGTATCGATCTAAAGTAAATGATAGTTCGACATAACTCAAAGAAAATCTAATATCAATATAACAAAATTCATACTCTCTCAGTATGAACATGTATATGTGCTTTTGTTTTTGAGC